AAAAAAAAAAAAAAATTGAATTGAAAGCCATTCCTGTAGTCCTAGCACTCTGGGAGGCCAAGGTGAGTAGATTGCCTGAGCTCAGGAGTTGAAGACCAGCCTAAGCAAGAATGAAACTCTATCTCTACTAAAAATGAAAGAGTTAGGCAAGAGGATTGCTTGAGCCCAAGAGTTTGAGGTTGCTGTGAGGTATGATGCCATGGCACTATACCAAGGGCGACAAATAAAAAAACAACAAACCCCCAAAACAATAAGACCAAAAATTAGACAAGATGAAAGCTTAGGAGGAAATCCAGGAGGGAGATATTTGTGAGAATAAGGGCTTTGAGAAGCTCCTCTCTATACTGGGGCATCTAGAAAGCTTTCCTGTACGAGCAGGACACGTGCTGAGAAAAGAGCTGAGAACAAAGTTGGTTTTATGCTTAGCACAAGCAGTGAGTGACAGCTAAAGCACAAATGGCCTAGTTAAGTATAGAACAAATGTCCCAGTGCAGATCCAAGGTGCAAAAACCTGGTGAATATTTTTATCTTTTCTTTCCTTTCTCTCTTTTCATTTCCTTTTTTCTTACAAGCATTTAAGAAAACCATCTCAGTCAAACCATTAGCTGCACACTAAACTAAAGGAAAAGAGAGACTTCAGACACCACAAATGTCAAAAAACAGTCTTTACAAAAAATAGTTTTAAAAAGTCCAGATCAAACACTATAATCCAGTACAACTAACAATAGGAAATCCTGGAGAAGAAAGAATTTGATTTCCAGAGTTATCACATCATAATACTCAACAAAAAACTATAAGGCATGTAAAGAACATGAAAACGTGGCTGATTCAAAGAAAAAAATAAATAGAAACTGTCAATGAAGAAGAACAAACATGGGGATTATTAGAAGAATACTTTGAATGAACTGTCTTAAGCATTCACAAATAGCTAAAGGAAACCATAGACAAAAAAATTAAAGGAAACCAGGAGAGCAATGTCTCAACAAACTTAGAATATGATTAAAGAGATAGAAATTATAAAAAGGAATGAAATAAAAAATTTTTGCTGTTGAAGAGTATAATAACTTAAATGAAAATTTCACAAGAGGAACTCAGCTGTAGATTTGAGCAAGCAAAAAAAAAAAAAAAAAAGAATGAGCAAACTCAAAGACAGGTCAATTGAAATGATCAAGTCTGTGGGGCTGCGCATGTGGCTCAACAGCCCCATATACTGAGGGTGGCAGGTTCAAACCCGGCTCCGGCCAAATTGCAACAACAACAAAAAAATAGTCAGGCATTGTGGCAGATGCCTGTAATCCCAGCTACTCGGGAGGCTGAGGCAAGAGAATCAATCGCCTAAGCCCAAGAGCTGGAGGTTACTGTGAGTTGTTACCCTACCAAGGGCAACAAAGTGAAATTCTATCTCCAAAAAAAAAAAAAAAATCAAGTCTGATGCATAGAAAGAAAAAAGAATAAAGAAAAATGAACAAAACCCAAGAGATCTATGTAATACCATCAAGCATATCAACATATACATAACAGAAGTCTCAGAAATGAGAGGGTTGGCTCCGGGCCTGTGGCTCAAGTGGCTAAGGTGCCAGCCACATACACCTAAAGTGGTGGGTTCGAATCCAGCCCGGGCCCGCCAAACAACAATGACGGCTGCAACCAAAAAATAGC